TCCTTGCAGGGCCATTTCCAAACCAGAGCGTCCCCCTCTTCCCCCCTGCAGGCAGGACTCCCTGGCCCCCACGCCGGGATCTCCCAGATGGAGCCGGAGGAAGAGCCGCGTGTCCCGGGGCCGCAGGAGAGCCCCGGCGGGGCCTGCGCAGGTGAGGAAGTTTCCCCGTGCGGGAGCTGCAGGCCGGGCTGGATCTGTGGCAGGGGAAGGCCAGGAGGGGTCTCTTGGGGGGGGATCAGGGCCAGAGAATCGCACCCCAAACTCCTAGGGCCCCTGGCAACAATCCCCAAAGGTGCCACGAAGCGGCAAAGTTGGTGTTGAATTATTGAGGTTCCTGTAGCCATGTGTAGGCGTTGGAGAGGCCCAGCAAAGCCACCAGGCACTCCCCCACCCTCAGCCAGGAAGTCCCCCACCCTCGTTACCTGTGGAGTAGGGCTGGGCTGCTGACCCACAGAAAAATCAGTCTGGGGCCACATCCAAGGGAGAAACAAACAAAAAAGAAAACAAATCCTCCTTTATGTGGCTCTCAGCTGAGGAGAAAGACCCTTCCCACATTCCCCTCACACACCAGAGCCTAGTGGGGCTCGGGCTAGTAGATTTTGTGTGCTCCAGCCCTGCAGGGACGTGCCAGTGTAGGCTCCCCAGTGAGGGGTGGAGGGAAGCCCTGAGCTTCGGGGGCCAGATCCAGACAAGCTGGGGGCCACATCCAGCCCTGGGCCTTAGATTCTTCTCCCCTACTTTAGAGCTATGCAAATGGGTGGGTACTCATTCTGGATCCACGGGTATCCCTGGCTCATTGGTGCAGATGAGGATGCAAATTTGATTCTATGCAGGGTTCTACCAATCTGATCTATCCTCCAGGGTGTCACACGCCATCGACACCACCTGGCACCTGCACACAAAGCCTAGCAGCCATAGCCTACAGGAGCCTAAACTCTGATGTGCAACAGACAGAGAATAAACAAGACTAAGGCACACCAGTGTTTGAGCCCTCTTCCACCCATCATGCCAGGGAAATGTTTAAATGAGAGATGATCCACACCTTCAAAGCTAAGAGGAAGGTGAAAAAAAGCCCCAAAGTCTCTGCCAGAGGGGGGGGGGGGGGGAGGGGAGAATTTTTCTTCCCCTCATATCTGGCGGTTCTCATGGTTCTTAGAGGTACCTAGAGGTCTTCCAGGGAGCACATCAACTCATCTAATACTTGCCTAGTTTAATAATTGGCTACCGAAAAGCATTAGCAAAGTGAATAGAAATAAAAATGTCATGCAGGCAATGGCTTATTTATACTGCTCTGCATGCTAAAATGTAAGTGCAATGTTTGTATTCCAATGGATTTCTTTCATCGTTACAATAAAAACTGGGTTATCCAGCACTTTACCAACCAGAAAGCTCTATAAACCAGCATTTCTGATCTTCAGTAGGGTCAAGTTGGCATGGGGCCGGCTGGCTAGCTTCCTACCTGGTCTGAGTGGCTCCCTGCAAGCAGCGATGTGTCCCTGCTGCTCCTGGGTGGCAGAGCAGCCATGGGGGTGCTTAGCTGCCCAGCCCTTAGCTATGGCCTTGCAGGTCCCATTGGCTGTGATTCCCAGCCAATGATAACTGTGGAAGCAGCCCCTGTGGGCAGAGGCAGCACACAGCTGCCTGGCCACACCTCCACCTTGGAGCAGCTGGGGTTTGTCACCACTTACAAGGAGTCACCCTAGGTGATGCCACCTGTATCCAGCACCCCAAAACTGTTCCTGAATCCCGATCCCCTGCCCTGAACCCTTCCACACCAAACTCCCTCCTTCTGAATTAACCAGAGTTTTTGACTTACCAGCACCCCTGAATTCCCACAACATGCCAGATAACAAAGCTTTTTATTGTATGTGGTAAAAACGAGAGCACCATTTTTCCATAATGGTGTGGCTGTGGCACTTCTGAATTTTTTTGTCTGATTTTATAAGCAAGTTGTTTTTAAGCAAGGAGAAATTTGGGAGTACCTAAGACAAATCAGACTCCTGAAAGGGGTACAGGGCACGGATGTAAAAGAGTAATCAAGTCAACTACTCACATTTCCCCTCTCCCCTGCTATCTCTATAGCAGAGGCAGCAAGGGGCGGAGGCAGGAGCAGGTGCTGGGGAGAGCCAGCTTAAAAGCCAGTGCCCCCCAAGCACCCTTTCCACAGTGCGGGGGTGGGGAGAACAGACTGGAGCAGAGGTGCAGCTGTCGGGACCCAGCACAAGCGGGTGGCTCTTACTACAATGCAAAGGCAGAGGCGCAGTGAGTAGCTGCTTCATCAAAATTTAACATCTCTAGTACAGGGGTTTGGAAAGGCTGAGAACCACTGAGCTCTGATCTACGTGATGGAGTTATTTCCACATAACTCCCCTTGTTTTGAAATAATGGTGAAGCACCCACACTACTAAGCCTGTTGTTTCAAAATAATGGGCTGCTCATTTCGAAATCTGTTCTGCTTCCCTTGGGGAATGAGATCCCCGGCCCGCCCACAGGGATGAATGAACGGGCTCCGGAGAGCGCGGGGAGAAGGCATACAAGCCCCGCCCCCTGCACATGTGTGAGCTCAGGCCGCGGGAACGTGCTTTCATGTGCGCCCCCCGGCCGGAGGGATAACAGCCTTCTACTGCTGCTGCGACCTGGGGCCTCCGCGCCGGGCTGTGAGGTGGGTGGTAATGTGATGCACGAAGGAGCCTGGTGTACAGGGGTCCCTTGCGTGCCCCTGCCCCTGCAGCATCCCGGGGGCTGGGCGGGGGAGTCCGTCGTGCCACGAGCGTCACTTCACCGGGGGCATTTCCACGTGAGTTGGAGAGAAACGTGGGGGGGGGGGGGGG